TCTTGGCTGTGTTTTCAATGCACAAGGGGAGATTTGGCTTGCAATTCATCACTTTGAAAAGGTTAGTTATTAAATTAATAATTGGTACTTAGGAAGTGCTTATGTGTGCGGGCTGTTTTTATTTAGAGCTAAATAATAGGCCTTTACATGATCAGTCACATAATATCCTTGTTTCTCTGACCATATTTAAGGCATTTGCTGGATGGTATATGATATGGCAGTTTCCAGTTTTGCATTGAAAATGTACTGTAGTAATTAAAAATCCATTTTTTAAATGGGCAACTTTAAAAAAGCAGGGTTTCTTGGTCAAAAGGCTGATTCTAGCTGGGGGTAGGAAATGTACAAAATTCATCTGGAATGCCCTCTTGTACCAGAAAGCATGGAAGCTTTGGTATTACTTTGATTATGTCTAAAGGACTCAGGAGGCAACTGGAAGAGGCTCACACTGGATAAAGATGGGACTTGAACATTAGGAATATTATAACGGAAATATATTGAAACTTCTCATGTGTTTCAATCCATGAGTTTATAAATATACTAAGAAGAAATTCAGTGGTCACCTTTGGAAGATCAGGAGCAATTCATTTTGAAAACTGGTTAAAGAGGGAAGAATAAAGCATTTATCTTCCTCCTGTATGAACTGGACCTCAGGGTAACCCAGTAGTTGGATAGGGGGACGTTTCTTATTTATAGAAGTGTTCCAGCTAGTAAATGAAAAAGGAATGATAGAATCAGAGTATCACCATTAATAGATTTAGGCATTTATTAGTGGCAGAAAAGACACAACCAGACAGTATGTACTTTTTTTTTTTTTTGAAGATTTTATTTCTAAGTGATCTCCACACATAATGTGGGGCTCGAACCCATGACCCCGAGATCAAAAGTCACGTGTTCTGCAGACTGAGCCAGCCAGGCGCCCCTAGAAGAGTTAGCCTTATTAATTTTGAATAAAATAGGGCCAACCGTTAGAAGTATTTAGCTCATTAAAATTGGAATGGACCCAATTAAAAATGTTTCCCTTCAGGACACATTTTGCTCTCACATTACATGAGCAGTTACTTTGATAACCTTGAGATTTGTGAATAATGAGAGGGTACTGAAATGACTGGGTTTTATCTTCAGTGAAAGAAATAAGATTTAATTATATTAGAAAATGTAATTGGAGGCCTAAAATTATCTCAATAAAAACTTGTAATTGGAAAGTTTATCTGAAATCCTAACTTGATCTAATAGCTGCCTTGTAATTTTTAGGCTGTCACTCTTGACCCCAATTTTCTGGATGCTTATATCAACTTAGGAAATGTCTTGAAAGAGGCACGGATTTTTGACCGGTGAGAGAATGTTCTATCTGATAAATTTTCTTGAGTCTTTGTTGCATTGACACCTGAGACTTGGGACTAAAATTATGGCCGCGGTCCATTCAAACACATTTTCCTTTTCTAGTATATTGCTCTTCCCTCATCATGTCTGATGTATTACCTCTTATTTATAGGCATTGTTGCCTGACTTTTCATTGTTGGCTTTTCTCAAAGTCATTATCCTTCTCACTAAGAATTTAGTTGACCTTTCTCTTATTGTAAACTGTTGAAATGGTCATTATTTATTTATTATTTTTTATTTTGGGGGGGAAGAGAGTGAGAGAGTGTATGTGCATGAGCAGAGGAGGGGCAGAGAAAGGGGGAGAGAGAAAATCCCAAGCAGGCTCCTGCGCTGTCTGTGCAGAGCTCGATCTCTTAGTTCACGTGATCATGACCTGAGCCGAAATCAAGAGTTGGATGCTTAACTGACTGAGCCACCCAGGCGCCCCAAAATGGTTATCTTTTAGACTAAATTATTTCTTTGATTCACAAAGCTAAGTAAATCCTGACTTTTGACTTGTTTTTGTTGTCAGGAGAGAGCTTATTTCTTATGTGGAGATAGAAAATTTTTCAGTGTAAAAATATATTTTATTAGGGTGAATTTTGAGTTGAGGTTAAGTATAGTATAGTGTGAATTATAATTGATATGCTTTGGTACAGTATTATAACATGAGTTAATTGTAGCAAAGCAGCCATTGAAGTTAGTTGCATTGTGTGTGTGTGGTTTTTTTTTATTTTTCATTTTTTATTTTCAGAGCTGTGGCAGCTTACCTTCGAGCCCTCAGCTTGAGTCCAAATCACGCAGTGGTGCACGGCAACCTGGCTTGTGTATACTATGAGCAAGGCCTGATAGATCTGGCGATAGACACCTACAGGCGAGCTATTGAACTGCAACCACATTTCCCTGACGCTTACTGCAACTTAGCCAATGCTCTCAAAGAGAAGGGCAGTGTAAGGACATTTATTCAGTCTATTTCTTTGTTACTTGATAGGAGTAAAAAGTTGTTTTTGTGCGTATTGTTATTAAGTATTGAGGTGGTCAGTAGTTTCACTTTGGAGTTTTGGTTGAGAGAATAGCAAAAATGACCTATTTTCTAGAATATTATCAGCCCCTCAGCTTAACCAAGCAGTTGTTAGAATAACATCAGTGGTGGCTCTGTGATTCCTTTGTGGACGTTTTGAATAATTTGTTTTGTTTCTAGGTTGCTGAAGCAGAAGATTGTTATAATACAGCTCTCCGGTTATGTCCTACCCATGCAGACTCTCTGAATAACCTAGCCAATATCAAACGAGAACAGGGAAACATTGAAGAGGCAGTTCGCTTATATCGTAAAGCATTGGAAGTATGTTCAGGGTGGTGTGGATGGATATTTTGTCTGTGATAATAGAGGAAAAGCAGTTAAAGTTAGCCATTTCATCCACCTCTTTTGTAAAAATTGTGGTTGAACCATTCATGAAGCTAGTAATTGAGTAGCTACGGTTTGAGTGAAGTCTTGTGTGACATTCAAGAAAGACTCTACATTGAGTTCATGATTTTATGAATAGATAAGATCACAAAAAAGTTAAACAGTAAGTTACAGTTCAAGAGAGGTTGCCAATAAGTATAATTTTAGTGCCTGATAGCTGTAGTGGTGGTTGGTGGGTGTGGTAGGAGTTTAAAAGAGATTTCAGAAGAGAGAGATGCTAGAGTAATCAGCATAAACTAGGATGAGGAGAGGTCTATCTCATCGTGGTTTGAAACAAGGAGAGATCTAAAATGAAGAGGTAGAATTTGAGCTACTTGGCTTTGAAGAATGAACAGATTTAGAGAAAGGTAGACAGAACTTTAGGGATATAAAGGTATTTGGGCAAAGTTCTTATTGTGGTAAGTTACTACTGCTGTTGTAGAAGTTTTTAAACCTCAGGTATCATCTTGACTATAGGTCTTCCCAGAGTTTGCTGCTGCCCATTCGAATTTAGCAAGTGTACTGCAGCAGCAGGGAAAGCTTCAGGAAGCTCTGATGCACTATAAGGAGGCTATTCGGTAAGACGCTCACCGTCATGTTATTATTATCATTTTCTCTCACGTTTTAAAATGTTTGGCATTTGGCACATTTGGCTTGTGTTAAGATGACTTTTAATAACAGACTACATTCAGGGGGGCTAAAGGTTTTTGTGCTAGATCAATAAAATGTTTGTTTTCTCCTTTAGAATTAGTCCCACCTTTGCTGATGCCTACTCTAACATGGGAAACACTCTGAAGGAGATGCAGGATGTTCAGGGCGCCCTGCAGTGTTACACTCGTGCCATTCAGATTAACCCTGCATTTGCAGATGCGCACAGCAATTTGGCTTCCATTCATAAGGTACTACTGTTTGTTATGTGTGCATCTAAGCACCTAATGTTTAATTTTAGGACAATTTTTAACCATCCCTCTGTATTTATTTCCAGGATTCAGGAAATATTCCAGAAGCAATAGCTTCTTACCGAACTGCTCTGAAACTTAAGCCTGATTTTCCTGATGCTTATTGTAACTTGGCTCATTGCCTGCAGGTAAAGAATAACAGGCCAGTAATTGGCTTTCGTGTTGCAGTCACTTTTTAATTGTTATGTGCCATATTAGTCCAAGCCTGGCTGGAGACCCTGTTCTTTAAAGGGTTATCTGAAATTAGTCCAAAGACACACAAACTGTTAAATCTTGAATAGGGTTTTCTGGATAATAATGTCTTTTTGCCTCCTCTAGATTGTCTGTGATTGGACAGACTATGATGAGCGAATGAAGAAGTTGGTCAGTATTGTGGCTGACCAGCTAGAGAAGAATAGGTTGCCTTCTGTGCATCCTCATCATAGTATGCTATATCCTCTTTCTCATGGCTTCAGGAAGGCTATTGCTGAGAGGCATGGAAACCTCTGCTTGGATAAGGTGCAAATGTTTTAAGTTTTTTTTGTTGCAAAGTAAAATACAGATAGAGAAAATGATGTGGATCAAATGTATATGGTTTAATGAGTTACCATAAGGTGAACACCACCCAAGTTGAGAAGTGAGACTTTGGCAGCCACCGCAGAAGCCCTTTCCATTGTGTCTTGATCATAACCCTTTCCATCCCATAAAGCAGAATCCTAACAATAGATGGATAACGTCTTCTTACAGTTCGAAAATCATAATGTTTAATACAGTGTTTAGTATTTGATATTCCATTTTGAGAATTAGAGCACTAGTTTGTCAAAGGTGGGAGTTTACTCAACAGAATAGATTGGAGTGCTAGATGTAATTCTGTATTTTAAAGGTACTTCCCGGGGTGTCTGGGTGGCTCAGTCAGTTAGGCGTGCGACTTTGGCTCAGGTCATGATTCCGTGATTTGTGGGTTCTAGCCCTGCGTCAGGCTCTGTGTGAGCAGCTCAGAGCCTGGAGCCTACTTCAGATTCTGTATCTCCCTCTCTGCCCTCTTGTGCTTGCTCGCTCTCTCTCAAGAATAAATAAAACATTAAAAATAATTTTTTAAAAAAGTGCTTCCCTACAGAATTTTCTAAAACGCAGGGTTTGTCATGCTCTGTCCACACTGCCTCCTTTCTCCAAGTTTTAGATTTTGCTCATGGCCTCAGGAACATGATAGAGTATGAAGCATATTATACAAACTGCTAAGATTGTATTGAACTGGCTGTATGAATTAAATGAAGTATTCTGGGTAAACCATTCCCAGTGGGTGTGAGGTATAGGTTTGTTTTGCTTTTAATCAATTTTCCTAGGTTTATGTATAGATTCAACTTGACTAACAGGCATTGGTTTCCATTGGTAGATTAATGTCCTTCATAAACCACCATATGAACACCCAAAAGACTTGAAGCTTAGTGATGGTCGACTGCGTGTAGGCTATGTGAGTTCTGACTTTGGGAATCATCCTACTTCTCATCTTATGCAGTCTATTCCAGGCATGCACAATCCGGACAAATTTGAGGTAAGACTAGTGTTTGTCTAGAGACACTATTTGTTTCGTTAAACAAAACCTCATTTGTGGCTTTACCATCACCATTAGGTGTTAAGCCTAGTGTCTTTTTTTTTTTTTAATGTTTTATTTCTTTTTGAGACAGAGACAGTGCATGAGCAGGGGAGGGCTAGAGAGAGAGGGAGACACAGAATCCTAAGCAGGTTCCAGGCTCTGAGCTGTCAGCACAGAGCCTGATGCAGGGCTCGAACTCACCGTGAGATCATGACCTGAGCCGAAGTCCCAGGCTTAACAACTGAGCCACCCAGGCGCCCAAGCCTAGTGTCTTTTTGAAAGATTTGAGCCGAAGTTTTTACTCACTTTTAATGTTTTAATTGAAATACAGATGGCATACAACATAGTGCATAAGTTTCAGGTGTATGACATAGCAGTTTCACAATTATATGTTCTGAAATGCTCACCACAATAAGCATAGTTGCTGTCTGTTACCATGCAGAGTTATTAAATATTATTGACTATGTTCCCTCTGTACTTTTCATTTCTGTGACTCATTCTATAGCTGGAAGTTGCACCTTTTAATCCCCCTCACCTATTTTACCCATCCTCTTCATCACCTCCCTTCTGGCAACCACTAGTTCTCTGTATTTATGAATCTTTGGTTTTTGTTTGCTCACTTGTTTTTTAGATTCCATATATAAGTGAAATCATATGGTATTTGTGTTTTCCTGTCTGACTTATTTCACTCAGCATAATATCCTCTAGGTCCATTTATGTTATGAATAGCAAGATTTCATTTTTTTATGGTAATGTCCCATTGTACGTATGCATGTGTTTACACATACACTCTCCATATATTCTTTATTCATCTGTTGATGGACACTTCCATATCTCATTGAGCCAAGGTCTTTAAATATACTGTATGCTGCCTTTCAGGTATTCTGTTACGCCCTAAGCCCAGATGATGGCACAAACTTCAGAGTGAAAGTTATGGCAGAAGCCAATCATTTCATCGATCTTTCTCAGGTAGGTGAAACTCCTACACTTCAAACTTAATTTTGAACAAATAGTGAATAAAACTATTGGCATATAGCTTGTATTTTTTGTGACATATTTTTAACATCAGCTACTACATATGGGCAATTGCTTTGTTCTTATTTGCTTAGTCATTTACATTTATAATCATGGATTTTGCTGATGTTGCAAATGAAATAGAAATGTGGTCTATCTGTGCTTGGACATAAAACTCTTCTAGGGATTAAGCCAGGTCTTATGACAGTAGATACTTAATATTAACTGAATAAATTGACCAAAATGGTGGCTTGGAAGAGGAATACATAGGTTATTTAAGGAAAATAGATGAACTATGGTTCATCATATGTACTAACATCTTTGGCAGTGTAGCTGTTGCTATGGGACCAAGAAGCATACTGCCTTCCACTTCTGAGATGTTCAGGGGCTCACTGCTTATTGACTGAAGTCTAAACTCTTCAGCATGGCCTTCACAGTCTTTCTGAGTCTGAGCACAATCTTGTTGGCCAATACTTTTCACTCACCATTTCCCCTCATGTATACCCTGTACCAAATAGCAAATAGCAATAGCACCAAATAGCAGTGATCTACACACCATTTTTCTTAATCTACCATGCACTTGACTCTGATTAATTCATACTTTTCTCGTGTCGAGATTCTATTCTGTCCAACTGCCTCAAACTCCTTCCCATCTTTGAAGACCCATTTCAAATGCCAGCTCCTCTATGAAGCCTTGTTATTCATACGTTCAGTCTAGAAGTAAACTCTCCTTCCTCTGTATTCTGTTCCTGTAATGTTTTGGGCCCATTTTAAGGGCACTTAACCACATTTTTACCCTGCATTAATGTAACTTGTGTTGTTCTGTTTTGCATCTATGACTCTGAATTTTATTTGGTGCCATTAAGACGAATTGAGTTAGTTTGAGGGGCTCCTGGGTGGTTCAGTTAAGCATTTGACTCTTTATTTTTTATTTTTTTTTAACGTTTATTTTTGAGAGAGAGAGCATGAGTGGGGGAGGGGCAGAGAGAGAGGGAGACACAGTCTCTGAAGCAGGCTCCAGGCTCTGAGCTGTCAGCACAGAGCCCGATGCAGGGCTCAAACGCACGAGCCGGTAGATCATGACCTGAGCTGAAGTCAGACGCTTAACCGACTGAGCCACCCAGGCGTCCCAAGCATTTGACTCTTGATTTCGACTCAGGTCATGATCTCACAGTTGTGAGATCTGTCTTGAGATCAAGCCCTGCATCAAGCTCTGCTGGGTGTGGAGCCTGCTTAAGGTTCATTTTCTCTCTCTCTCTCTCTCTCTCCCTCCCTCCCCCCCACTCCTGCTTTCCCGCTCATGCTCCTTGCTTGCTCTCAAAGAAAACTAATTGAATTAGTTTGAGACTATACATAGTGAGTTCTTTTTTTATTCCATAGATTCCCTGCAATGGAAAAGCTGCTGATCGCATCCATCAGGATGGTATACACATCCTCGTAAATATGAATGGTTATACCAAGGGTGCTCGAAATGAACTCTTTGCTCTCAGGCCTGCTCCTATTCAGGTAAAGAAGTTCATGATAATTGCTCACAATGTTTATTGAACTAAAAAGACAGTGATGTGGGTCGTCCTCCACCCCCGTTTTTCTGGCATTTGAAACATTTGAAACATGCTTGACATAAGAATAAAAGTATAGGGGCTTGAGTGTCCGACTCTTAATTTTGGCTCAGGTTGTGATCCTAGGGTCATGGGATCAAGCCATGTGTCAGGCTCCATGCTGAGCATGGAGCCTGCTTGAGATTTTCATATATTCTCATTCTCTCTCTCTCCCCCTCTC